ATATACATTTTACACTCAGTTTGGTTCTTCTTTTTAATAGGATATATTCCAGCAATATTCATTTATTGAAGCAATTATATGGCACAGCATATATTTGCTCAGATGATTAGTTTTTTTAATTTCTTGCATGTTTTCATAGTTTCTTACAGTTTAATGATGGACAATTATATAATCTAATTTCAATTCTATTAAACCAGGCATTTATATTTCATGCAGATATCCATAGCTTAAGCCTAGAGATTTTAGTTAAGACTAAAACATTTAGGTCCTCTAGAGACTATACTGCACAGGAGAAAAGTAACAGAGACTACTACTTCGTTTCTACCTAAGGCTATCAGCAGAAAATAAATTATGCATCAAAAGCCTTGATAATAGCATCATATAAATGTACCATGTTCCACTAATAAGAAATCCCTTTGTGCACTCCACACTGAAGTCTCTGGCAACTTAGCCTAGGTGACAGTTGTTCCCCACAGCCTGAGCCTGCTCATCTCTATGATTTGGAGAATGTGAGCAACATTTATCAGCTAGTCATTGAAGAAATAAGGGGTTTGGTACAAAAATACTTGTGGTTCTGAAAATACTAGATGGCTGCATCCATACTGGGACCAATGTTACTTCGTGTCTTCATTAATGACATAGCGGGACTGAGTGCACCCTCAGCAAGTTTGCTTATGACACCAAGTTGAGTGGTACAATTGATATGCTCGGAGGAAGAGATGACACCCAGAGGGGCCTTGGCAGGCTCAAGAAGTGGGTCTGTGTGAACCTCATGAAGTTCAACAAGGCCAAGTGCAAGGTCCTGGTGGATGAATGGATGGAGAGCAGCCCAGTGGAGAAGGACTTGGGGATCCTGGTGGATGAAAAACTGCACGTGAGCCAGCAACATGCATTTGCAGCCCAGAAAACTGATCATATCCTGGGCTGCATCACAAGAAGTGTAGCCAGCAGGTTAAGGGGGGTGACTCTGCCCCTCTGCTCCACACTCATGAGACTCCATGTCTTATACTGCATCCAGCTCTGGTGGTTCCCAGCACAAGCAAAATATGGATATGTTTGAGCAGCTTCTTCCCACAGTTTCCCACTTGATTTTCTGCAAAATAGCACTGACGAGTGTCTTGCGAGACAGTTTACTAAGCTGGGCTCTGCAGGCAAGACAGGCAGTCCCCTGCACAGTGCAGGGATTGCAGAAGGTTTCCATGCCTTGAAACTCAACATTGTCAAGACAAACCCACCATGGCACCTAAATTGCTCTCTGGATCAAGCCAGAGGTTCCTATTTACACTTTCACATGCTGGTGACCTTTGATAATTTGGACATCCAGTTCCAGCCACTTCATTGGTCCCTTTGAAAGATTACTGAAACCCAAGATGGGAAAATTAAGTCTCTTCCAGCTCATTTGCCTCACATTTTCTTTAGTTATCAGGGAACACACATTGAAGTCTATCACTTGGTGCCAGGCCAATAGCCAACATTTCCGATATCAAGAAACCGGGCAGTACACATCAGTCAGCTCACTGCAAATTGGCAATTAACATGATGGCTAGATGGGTTCACATGAGCATAACGTTATTAATTAAACAGCAGCTGGGTTAATCAAGATAGCAAAAGTAATTTGTTGGAATAAATATTTTATTAGTGTGTCCATCAATAAAGCAAAAGAAGAGGTTTTAATTAATTCATTTATAAAAATATTCACACTGTGGTGGCTGTAACTGTTTAGGGATCTGGAAACAAGTCTCATCTGCAGAAGGGTATATTCCTACGTTATCACTTCATGTTAATTGTACTGTAGATATCAGTTAACTCAACTATAATTACCAGTATGTTCGTTACAAGCCAAACATTGCTGTCCGCCTCTGGACAGCAATACCTGACAATTGATGCTAAAGGGCTTTTTTTCCTCTGTTGCTTTATTCCTTCAGAAATGTACATTCTGCCATTTAATTACAGAAAGGTATTCTTGTAATACGGTGGGTTATGATACCTCCTGGTGTGATTTGAGACCTGATCTTTCCTTTTCCCCCTAAAACAAAAAAGAGAGAGAGAGTGAATATATCTTTTTATTTTTCCTGGTATTAATAACTTAACAGGTGGCGGGAAATGGTATATTTTAAACAAGTATACGCCATAAACACAACAGGTGGTGGTGATTTCTATCTGACTGAGGAATATTTGTCTCCTAATGCTGAGAAATATAAAGAAATATTGAGAAGCAGAGAGAAGCTGCTGATTTTGCAAGAAGGTGATAGATTAGACAAAGTGTGTTTCAGACACTGAAGAAAGTGGGAAAATATTTACTTTAAGGAGAAGACCTACTGAAAGAGCAAGAGATAAGCTGTTAGGACTGTTAAAACAATCAGGCTTGCCAGGCCTCATACTTTTTTGGAGGGAAGACATCTTAGAGTATTTTTCCCTATTGCTTTCTTCTTTGCATCAGGTGGTTTAATATGCATTAGAGTTTAAGTCTCTTTCTGTGCTTTATCCACCTGTCCAACATCTTAGACATGTGTGAGAAATTTGCTGGAAGCCCTCCTGGACAGATGCCTTATATAATACGCATGAGTATGGCGTACACGTGTACGTATAGAGAAGGAATTGCATTTATAAAAGTAAAGTTAATTTAATACAGAATATGAAAGAAGAAAAAAGAAAGAAATACGCAATTGGAAAATGGTAATGTACTACAATTCTTTTGTATCATATTCATTATTTATGCATATTTATTTATTCTTCAAAATATTTTGGACGTGTTTAGGGAAAAGCAACAAAGCCAAGTGACTTGCACAGTCAAACTGCACAACATGAATGGGCAACAGGAAATATTGTAAATAAACAGGTGTCATTCCCGCATGAAAAGCTACCTGTTTTCTGGTATTTGTATGATACTTAATGCAATAATTATTTAATCTATATGTAGCGTTCAGGTGGCACAAGCAATATACTTCGAGTACGATTGGTTTTTTGATCTCTCGGAAGCCTTTATATCGTATTGCTTCAGTTGTCATGCTTGAAAGGTGATCTAATGCGTGAAGTTTAGGGAAAAAAAATGTATTAAGGAGTCTGTAAGCCAGTGCTGGTCCTGGAGATGCAGAGCACCAGAACCACATGATCCGATTTTCATTAATGGTGGGAGGCTGGACTCCTCTTACCCACCCGCACAGTCCACAGCAGGCAAGTGTGGGCTCATTCTGAGCCGGCCAGGCCTGCTGTGGCTCTAGGTCCTCTCCAGCTGCAGGCACCGTGACACCGGGCTTGGTAGCTCAGGCACAGCTTGGTCCTAGGCGTCTCCAGCAAGCGCCTCCTCCAGAGCTGGTTTGCATTTCGCTGGCTTAGAGCAGCAGTACAACAAAGTGATGTCCACCTGATAGGGGCTGTGGCACCGCCACCCCAGTAAACTAGATCCCCCCAAAAAAGCCAAGGAAGCTGCCAATACTGCAGTCTGCTCAGAGCGAGAAGGAAGTTGGATTAAACTCACTTTCCCGAAACACCAGCGAGGTGAATGCCCTGGAGAGGAAGCTCCGACAGGACTGTCTGGCAGCGTTGAGACAGCTCCCATTCACAAGTAACTCAGCTTTAGTGTGCCGTAGCTTAATTCTCTGTGGGGAAGATTAATCCCTTGGAGGAGGATTAAGCTCCAGTGAACTAAGGCCACTTTATTTCTGAATGGGAAAGGCCACACAGGGATTTAATGTACTTTATCTTATGTGCATTGATTTCACAGCCTTAGTTAATTCATCTTAACTTCCCCGAATTCCCTTGTGCGGACAAGCTTTTTGTCTGCAGAGAAGCTCTTGGATCTGCTTGTAAAGCTCCTCGTGCAGCCCAACCAGAAAGCAGGTTGGAATGATTTCTGTGCCTCTGAAGGAGCTTATACCTGTCTAGATACTATTAAATTACCTCTTTCTCAGATGGTTGATCCGTGACACCCTTAGAAGAACTATTTTAATTAGATTTTTTGAATGGACGGGAGAAAAAGGAGTTTTCTTAAAACTAATCTCTGGGTTATTTTAGAAATCTCTCATGGACAGCCTTTTCAAGGCTTTCAGATAGCATGAATTGTGTACAGCTGCACAAACAATATTTTCTCAAGCGTGGACATGTCTGGCCAGTGCAGTTTAATAGGTTTTCTTGCCCAGTTGGATTTTCTTCTTCTTTGGTAGCGGTCATAAGAAAACATTTTGTCTACACAGAAAGCAAATGAGAGTAGTCTCCATTCCCTGATCCTAAAGATCTTAATCCTTTCCTCTCCATGGAACAAGTGACACAGATCTGGGTTGAGGAGGATGTTTTTGTGGGAGCTGCTGTTAAAATAATAGCATGATTTTGCTGGTGGTGTCCTCTGGGGAAACAAGTCTGCTCATTTCTTGCATAGTTAACATGATTTACTGATAGGCCCTTTGGATAAGTTGTTTCCTGAAACTGATGAATCATAACCCACCTTTACTGTTCAGCTACATCATGACATTTCACAGATCAAATTGAATTTTTGCCAAGCTTTTCTTCACTGGGACACTTCATGCAACAAAAAAAGACATCTCTTGTGGATTCCATACAATCTTTACTGACTTATTTCTGTAGCAGTCAATAAATATTTAATCTTTTTAATATGTAGTTAGGTGCTTAGGGGGCCCATGTTCATGTGAACAAAGTCATGTGAGACCAGAGGTATTGAACAAATAAAGGAACGTAAGCAATAGCTGAACATTAAGGTCCAAGCATTTTCCAGCAGTATTACTCTATACTAGTATTCATCAATACTGATCTCAGTGAGGCTAGGAAAAGATTTTAAAATATAGTACAACATGAACAAAAGAGAGAAAGTCTCTTTAATTTAGCTGTTTGTGGCCACTTGCACTGAAATTTACATCTGAGTTCAGGAAATGGAAGCAAATCTTTTCTAAATATAGCTGTGATACCTGCATTTATACAGCATTGTACTAAAGCTTAACGAGTGTTCAATGTGTTCTAATGATCGCTTTTCCTCCTCTTTCATGCAGCTGATTGGATTTGTGTATGCCTGTTACGTGATCAGTATTTTCATGGAGGAAGAGGACAGCTGTAAGTACTGATACACACCTCTCCATCTCTGGAGCCACAGTACCTGGGGTGAGACTTAGTCTTGCATTAACTACCAAGGCAAAGAACGAAGTCTGAAAAATAGCAGAATCTGGCATTCATGTACACTACCAATTTCGCTCAAACACATACTTATTTAGGTACTGCCACCTTATTTAGGTGTCAGAATTGTACTTACTAAGCTTGTTCATAGGGATCTGTGAACCGCTAACATGAACCAGTCATACTGCTGAAAAGCATGTGATCTGTGTCACATATATATATAAGTTTTTATGTGTGTACGCTTAAATTTGAATCAAGGCTCCTGAAAATATTTAGTCTGTTTTTCCAAGAGACAGTTTATCAGCAGTAAAGTTAATGCAGATGACAGGTCAAGCCATTTACGGTGTACAGTATCACTCTGATCAATAATTAAATAGACCTGTTCAACACTTACAAGTAACTAGATCATGCATCTGAAATGCTGACCCCATGTTCTTAACCTGCCTTTGTCAAGAAAACCTTTATATACATAACCATATTGCTGAAAAAGTTTGAAAATGTGAACACCTTTCAAAAAGTATTTCTCAAAAGTAATTAAATGGGCATTGTGAAAGTCTGAATATGTTGAACATTTTGGTAGGATACTGTGTGAAAAGAGATAGTGAGAATTGCCTAACAAGCTTGCCATACCCACCTGACTAGCAAAGGGATTGGTAAAAGAAAAAGAGAGAGTGAAATGATATTGGATGAGCAAAGAGAAGCAAAGAACAAGCCTATTTACAAAAAGGGAGTATGTGTGATTCTGCAGTTACTTCCTCTCATGTATGAGGAACTAAGTAGCAAAATATCTACCTCTAGGGAAAAAAAAAAAGGAAAAAATACCAATGCCATTTTGTGGCTATAGGATAAATAATACACAGCCAAATATTTATTCACAAACTTTTATTCATAAATCTTAACATAGTTGTTTTGTTTCTTCAGAGAATAGCACTAGTGGGAGAAATGAATATACTAGGAAAAATTAATTTGGTGTGTAGGAAAGCATTTGATAATATCTGGAAAATCTTATTGAAAACATAATTCAAGTATTTCACAGCCGTGATGGAAAAACAGACTTTTTGATTGAAAACAGTGTGAAGGACCATAAACAAAATACTTTTCCATTGCTGCAAACTGTACCATGTTCGGTTCTCCATTGTAATGCAACAGACATTAATGTCAAATCCATTTTAACGCTGTCATTTAGGTTTCTAATAGGAAGAAAACAGATCAAAGAGGTTCTCAGACAAGGCTGAGTGGTAAAGAGTCATAAGCATGTTGTGCACATAGTGTACTGTGAAAAGGTGCAAGGAGCCTGGACAAAGACTGGTGCCGTAAAGGAGAAATATGAACACTTGGAGAAGAAACATGGCATGTAGGTCTTGAGGAGGAGGAAGAGTCCAGACAACGCTCCCTTGGAAAGCTGGGAATTGCCAGTTAGTCAGGAACCGGTAACACGGGGTAACAGCAGAGGACAGTGCAGCAGCAAGACGGCCCTATAATTCGGGACGTATAAACAGAGTCTTTGGTTAGTAAAATCCAGAAACAACTGTCCTTTCTGTATGTCTGTGGTGAGTCATGATGGTAGCTAGGGCTTCATACAGGTATATGGAAGCATTGTTGGAGACAATTACTGACAAAATTCCTAGAACAGGGAGGCTTCATTAAATGACCGGGAAGGCCGGCAGACTGATAAGGAAGACACAAATAACAGTGACTTTTCAAAAGGGCAATAGTGCGTGTACATGCACAGCCACATGCAAACACAGCTGTATCTCTACCTGGGAAGACAGACTCTTCACTTTTTACATAAGTATGCTATATTATTGTTGGATTTGTTTAGCCCTTTATAGTATGCTTCACACACCCATGTAAAACGTAAAATGCACGTATGAAAGAAAGACAAAACTCCCACCAAAGAATACAACACGTTCTTGGAAAATACAGTCACCTGCTGAAGAGGTGGTTTATATTCAGGGCCTCACAAGAGGGTTATTGCCAAGCTGATGGCTTCGTTCACTTAGAAAATGTGTCTCCTTCAGAAGACTCTGGCCAGGGTCTGTCTTTGACATTACAGGCCTGATCTGCTTTCCTCTGACTGCAAGCCCACCTTACTGTCTTTTGAGAGCTTCGTGTCATATGATAACAATGGAATTTAAGTCACTGAGAATGGAGAACAGTTGACATATTTATTAAGCAGTAAAACACACCAAGAGCTAAGGTGATCCAGTAAATAAAACCAACCCACTGTCCATTCTCTATACAGGAATTGGGCATCTACATTTAATTTCTGCTTTTCATTCAGAACTGCCGATGGCAATTTGGTGTTTTCTTACATACAGTTGTAAATCGTCTTACTCATCTTGGAAAGTATGGTATAACTTAGTTCTAAGTCCTTTATTAGGAACAGGCAAGTTTCCCATCCTTACTTGTACCTTTACATATTATCTTCTAGAATCCTGTGTGAATAGATTTTTTTAGTTAGCGGAGGATGACCTTGGGCAGAGGGTGAGAGAGGTGTGCTGGAAGTGGAGCAAAGAACCAGAATAGATACAGCTAGAAGATTTTACAACCAGTGGAGGGAAATAATTTCTGGTTTGTTACTTCTTTTTATTTTCCTTTTAAGATGCTGAATCTGATCAAAGGCAACTAAATAGCACTTTAGTGTCTCACTTTGTGTTAATTTGTGTCTTAATGCCTATTTTTAGAGTCCTCTCTGCTAATAGATAAATACATTGAAGACAAATGTTAACTCATTTATATCAATCCCACAGATATGTTTTAAATGAAAAAACGTCCATGTAAGGTGCAGTGGAAAAAATGGTTTGGTTAGGTAATTATCTAAGAAGAACAGGACTTATTCTGGAAAAATTCACATTAACTTTCAACGTAATGAACAAAAACTTACTTAGGAGAGAAGTAGAGTGGTGCTTCAAAACAGGTTAAAAGTATACAGTGATTTCATTAGGATAAAAGTCCAAGAAACTGCAATGAAAAGGCAATTTTATGCATTTTAATACGATGCAGCAGATTCTTTTCTTAGGTAGATGCAGCTATTCCACCATATTTTTGCAGTAGTTTGCACAGAATAAATCCTCAGCCTTCTGAGAGTCAAAGCCTCTCTAATTAAATATACTCTGCAATATTCAGTGCATCAAGTTAACCCCAGTTCTTGGTCTGAAACCCGTCAGGCAGACTTAAAAATTAATAATAGCTGCCTGTTTAGCCTCTGTGCAGTGCTTAAATGGATTTTGAGCCTGACATTTCAGCTGATGGACACTTTTCTGAACAGTAATAATGCTTGAGGAAACATTTATTTCCAGATATTGCTCACCTTACCTACGTTTCAGACTGTAGTTAACTTTTACTTAGAAGGAAGATGATAGCAGGTCAAAAGGAATGAAAAAGACATGTAAAAGGCACACTGCTGTAGTGGGGTTAATACCTTCCATCATTCATCCTAATGAAAAAGTCTATTTATATCTCTTCCCTTCATTTTTTCATTTCTTTCTTTGTAGATCTATCAATCTATATAAGCCCTTTTGAAGGAACAGAATATGTGAAATCTGTAATCATAAAAGCCTGTCACTATCCTGTTTGTGAATCATTTTCTCCTAAAAATGAACTCAGAAGCTTGTTGCTACTTTGTCAGAGGTAGTGAATGGTTTTAATAAAGCTGAATCTGGAGACTAGGCAAAATGCATTGTTAAAAACATTATTAAGTTTCTAAATAGTTTCTGGACTTTCTTTGAGAAACGGTAGCACTATTGTTGCTGAATACTAGTTCATAAATATGACATTGACACATGTCAGAAATGATAGTGCTGTACTGTATGTGAATTTGTGGAGTGGAAGCTGAGTTACATACAAATTCCATAAGGAAAAAAAAATTAAATCAGAGGGGAAGATTTGCCAGAAACCTACAATTGTGATTTCAACATTTATTTTATTGTAAAAAACAAGACTGAAACACCAAAAGGTCAATCTGAGGAAGCTCAAGCCTCTTTTGTGCATGAGCAAAAACAAAGGAAAGAGTTCAGCTGTACTTTCAGAAGAGAGAGGAAGATAAATCTGTTTTAAAAAAGGAAGAGCTTCCCTATACTGTGGTATCAATAGGAACCTCCATACGCCATCATTAGACAAATATTAAGTAAAGCAAGATACATTATTACCACTGTTGAAAAACTACTGCATTGCCTTATCTGACATATGGCATTACATTTATACACACCATTGAGCGTCTGTTGGCAGGAATCAAACAAGAGAGAAAGAATTCTTTCTTCACATATAATTTAATATTTATTGTTACACAGTGGGTCCAGCAGTGATAAATTTCTTATAAATATGTTATTTTTGTAAAAGGAATAAAGAACTAGCAGTAGCTTACATTAGCAACAGACTCATATATGTTTGTACGTGTGATTAACTTTATATATAAATATACATGTTTCCTTAACTAAGCAGTTCTGGGGAACACACTACTAATATCTTTACAGCAATTGCTATTTCCCATGTGGCTGAGTCCATTTGCCTTCTAGAAAAAAGAATTTTTATCATAAAATGTTTAATATAAAAGATGACCAAGAAGAGGAACCCTGCACTATGCTTCTGTTGAGCATTACAAGAATCAAGCATCCCCAGGCAACGACTATCCTTAATTACCTCACTGAAAATGGGACCTTATGAAACTTTTCAAACAGTAACCAGCAGCACAGCCTATCACTGGCCTTTAGCACTCACTGCTCATAATGACTTCAGATATTGAAACAAAATGTGCTGTTACTGACCAATGGATGAATGTGCTTGACACAGACATCTAAAATTATAATCAGTTTTACTGCCTGGCACTGAAACAACACTATAGCTGCCAGGCTGACAGCATTCTCCTGGCTTTGGCATTTCTGTAAAATGGCAGTGACTATCAGCATTTTTGGAAGGCTTGAAAAGCAATTTGCCTCTTC